CTAAACTGAAATTCTACTATTGAGTCATTCAGAGGTTGAAGCGTTATGGGTGATCCAGGTTCCCCTTACTATCTGTGAACACAGGCAGTTGTTTGTCAATTCTTTTAAGTTAAAAAAAATGCACAAACAACCTATTGTAAAATGGAGTGAGTCCGTGCAATTGCACCAAGCATTTTTTATTGTCAACTGTGTAAGTCTTTGAATATTTTTTTGTGACCAGTTTTAGTTAAATGAACAAAATACTTGTGGATTCAAATGAGGTCACCAAAAAGTTATCTCTGAGTATAACACTCACTACAATGCATCATAAATATGCTCTCATCTGTGAACATCCTTATGAATGACTCTATGTCTTACTCATACTTTTATCTCTAATTTAGTACTGACTATTTTAGGTCATTCATAAATACTTTTGAAATTGGATTATGGAGGTATTTATAATAATCTAGATTATAAGCTCTTTCAGGACCAAATGCTATGTTTTCTTTACATTTGATCCCCTTATAATCCTTGTACATTTGTACATTGCCTTGCATATTTAAAAGTCTTTAAAATATTTTTGTTGAACTGATTTGTTGAATATAGATAAATCCCCCTGCTATGGAAACTAATGTGGAAATTGTTAATGATTCTTAAATTAGGGTCTAAACTCCTTTTGATCCTTTGGTTGGATGCCCAGTTCATTATATCACAAATAGTAATATTTTTCTTGTCAGGCTATATAGGCTGCTAAATGCTATTGTCCCACACTTTGATGGACATAATTAGAACAGATTTATTTTCCATCTACTATATGCAGGAACTCAATGCATTTTCCTATTTAATCCTCACACAAATTCATGCAGGAAGACTATTTATGTCATTTTCTCCATATAAGAAGACTGGGACTAAGAGATGTTAAATAATTTATCCAACTTGCCAAATAAGGCGGAGTCAGAAACTGTTAGACCTATGTTTCCCTGAACACTAACTGTGTGAAATCTTCCCTACTCTACCACAGTGCTTCTAAGAAACAAAGTAAAGAAGGGAACTAGTTAAAATACATTATGAAAATTATATATGATTTTGAAAGAAACATTTTATGGTAGGATAAGTATAGATATCCAAAATGTATTGAGCATTATCAATAGAATTTGAGGGATTAGTATGTGAAAGACTAAAATTAAATTTTAAAGGGGTGATTGTTCAACAGAGAAAGATACATGAATCATAGATTCCTCACATTTCTCTCCATGTAAAGACCTTTAGAAAGACTCAAGAATATTGGCCTCTTTACCCTGGTATTGCCATTTTGTTTTAGGAAGACAGTGTTTTACGTTTTACCGTTTCATAACTCAAGTGTAAAAGGGATGGAGAAAAGAGGGAGAGGCTGTATCCCTTCATGAATATTCAGGGTAACAATATAGATAGGGAATCAATCCTGAACACATCTTTGTGTATGCTGACTTCTAGTTGTTTCTCTAACTGGCAGCTTGTAGGAAAACTTAGTGTCCTCAAAATTTTCCTTCTGTTATACAGAACAGTTTTGTCAACTGAGACATATTAATAACTCTGTAAGTGAGGTCTGCTATTATTGTAAATGATTGTAAAGTTTTACCGTTGTTAATAGAATGTTCTGAAGAATAAAACGAGGTCTTGAAAATATTTTTGTTGGTGAATACAAAGCTATATTTAATGCAAAATTAGTGAGAGAAATGTCTCTACTATAACTGCGGTGGGTTTTGGTAGACAAAATATGATTAGGATTTAAAACTATGCCATGGTTCATATCATTACTATTACACTTTGTTTAGTTTTCAAAGTGGTTTCCATTAGTGCGTGAGTGTGCATGTGTGTGTATAGGTTTGTTCTAGAGAGAGAAATGTCTCCATAAATCAAGTTGTTTTCTTAATCATAAAAAGTCAGTTGGTTTAGTCATGGTGTAATGCTGAGAACTTTTCTTTTTAAATTGTAATTTGATTAAATTTCCTTCTAGTTTCACCTTTGTCAATGCAGAAAATAAAGAGAGTTTTTGTGTTTGTGTGTGTTCATCTTGATTGGTCATTACCATAGCAGCATTTGTTTTCTAGTTCTGTCTTCTGTCAGTTCAATCCAACTAATATTTATGAAATGCCATAATGTTCCAGAAACATTTAAATAATGGAAAATTCAGCTCATGTCCTTCCTTTGTGGGAGGAAAATTGGTCACCCTCAAGTGATTGTAAAACTGAGCTACATCTTAGCTTTAGCAATCACCTCCTTTTCACAGTCATTTTGCTAATGTATCAAATCAGTAGCTCAGCTGTTCTGGTAACTGAAAGTTTCCCTTCACTTCTATCAAAGACAGGCAAATGACATGAGAAATATATCTAACTGATATCCATCATAACATAATACCAAAACATGACACTAACAGATAATGACAGATTGCACTGAAAGGGCTCTCTGCTCTAGGTTATGATTATTTAGCTGCATGTTTCCACTGTTCTAACAGATTGCACACACCTTGAGGGGAGACTGCACAGACCCATGCAATATTTGTTTGACAGAATTTTCCAAGGAGCCATAACAAAGAATAGAGAGGAAAAGATCTAGCAAGGATTCTAGCTTAAATTTGCTCTGTTATTTTTGGTGAGCCTTTTGATCTTTTTGCACCTCAGATCCTTGAGCTCTAAAACAAGATTATTGAATCAGCCCAGTTTTTTAAAAAACATATTAATATTTTTATTAAACAATATAGTTTTAAAATTGTATTAATATTTTTAACTACAAACCACTGTAAGGTATAAATGCAAAAACCAAAGATATTCCAAACCCTCTATCACAATATCTGGCACATTATGATGTTTAATATATATCAATTGAATTGGATTTGTTTGGTCAACATCTTGGATGAAATACTGATGTATAAGGTAAATAAAAGGAGAGCTACTTTTGTCAAAGTGGAGTGTGTGGCACTACAAGGCAGGGAACTAAGCCCAGTGTGTGCCCCCCGCCCCAAACTCCACCAGATATTTAACTACCGAGAGCGGCATGTTGAAAATCATACTGTGTTAGAGAACACAATTTCCAAAGCAAAGAACTCAGTAAGCATATAATTCTTCCTGGCTTCAACCTTCTATAATTTCATGACTGAGCTTTAAAAAATTCCTTTACTGACATCGAGTTTACCACATGAAAGTAATACGAAAGATTTTAAGGATGTTGTAACATTATGCCATGGCGGGGGTGGTGGGTTAGGATGGAGAAGCACAAAACCATTTTGTATTTCTGAACAAATGTACTGCATATGGGTTTTATTGTCTTTCTCTATAGATCTTTATTTTTCCCTACTGCAAACTAATGTGGTATGCGTTTGAACAGGGAACAGTTCTCTCAGCTGCTTTCTGTAAAAAACTGTCAAGTTGTCTGCTTGTGACTACATAATCACAAGATTATATAAACTGACATAATTTACTGAATACAACACTTATTTAGATACCATAGTTGCTTTTGAAATTCAACCACTTGATAATGATTCTAAGAAGTGTAGATTTCCAACCTATTGATGGCAAACTATTTTGCCAATATTTAGTGAATAAGCTGATTATTTAGGCAGTAGAAAAATAAAATCCATTAACATCACTTTAGGAAGGAAATAAGAGTATTAAAGGTTAATCAGTGATGTCATATCTTTGACAAGAATTTCAAAGCTATTGATCTCATTCTATTACCAAACTTTCATTTGCCCTTTATTTCTATCCTCTTGTTAAATAATAATAAAGATGAAGGGATAATCATTCCAATAGCTATGAACAAAAACTATCAATCATATATGAGGTTGTTCTTCCAAACTAAAACTCAAAACTCATTCCTTTTTTTTTCTCTGACCTGGGATATGTCATTCCTTTGTACTTATTATGTTTTCTTTTAAAGAGAAGTGGAGGCAAGCTGCTGAAGCTTGAATTCTTGAACCCTCTGGTGATAAGTATATGTGGCCAACTCCTGGCAGTTCTGCCTAGATTGGCCTTCCAGTTATCAACCAAGCTGGCGTGTCCTTTTGGCAAGGAAGAAAGAAAGCCTGCAAAGCAAAAACATTTAGCTTAGCAATCCTTAATTGGTAATTTATATACTTGATAGAGTAGAAATTTCAGTGACAGGTTTCAAGGGGCCTAGGCAATTCAATCAGAGAGGGCAGGGCAGAGTGAGGAGGCTAAATGAAAGAGAACTTACTAACTAAAGTCCAGATATAGTCTAGTTTGGCTAGGAATGAAGTATGCAATGGAAAACCTATCTTCAAGATTTCTAATGGCAAGCTCTTAGATTTGTGGGCTGATAACTGAAATTGACAAGAGCAGAGAGCAGAAATGTGTAGAAGCTTAAACTCAAAGAGAGAATATGATGCAAATTAGCAATAAACACTATAAAATGTAATGGATAATAGTAATAAAGAGTTTAGACTCAATGGAAAATATCATTTTAAAATATTCCCTTGGTGTGGGTGTGCATGCTTGTACTAATTTAATGCCACATCTACCTCACTATGTACATACATAGGAAATAATGTAATAACTAAATGGCAGGTTTTGAAATGATGTGATCTAGAATATGGAAACAAGGAATGGAATTAAGAATGAGACAACTTTATGCAAAAAAATCATTGTAATACATGACACATATATCATGTGTAGCTTTAATTAACACAAAAATGTAGGCCATCCCATTAAAAGCAAAACAAAGAACAAATGGAAGATGCTTTCTGAAACACAGTTATATGTTCATAAGGACTGACCAGTCCTGATGCTCTAATTCATTAGTGTCATGTGACTGTCAATCTGGCAGTGTTCTATTTTACTCTTCTACAGTCTAATAGCTTTTCAGCTTGCCTGAAGGTGCTATCTACAGTATGTTCATTGTTACTTAGTAGAGTGCTTTAACACTACTTTGAAAATGAAAAATAGTTGGGAAAATAGACTGTATTCTATCCTTTAGTTTCATGCAGCGTAACTATAAGTCTTTGTATTATTATTGTTGTTTTTCAGCCCCCCTGACTGATAAGCCACCCAAGCTTTTGTATCCTATGGAAAGTAAACTGACAATTCAGGAGACCCAGCTGGGTGAGTAATTCCTTAATTCTAGTTAATATACTGTTCTCATTACATCATGACAGTTCCTAAGCCTAGATTGTAACCTAATGTAATACTCTCAGCTAAACCATTTATATTCATAGGGAACAGAGTTAGAAAATGCTAGCATACCTAGACATTTCATTCCTTGGAATGCATGCCATAGGACCCAGTTGGACATATGGATGTAAAACCTCACATGCTATTTAGGTGGCTGTTGGGAAATGAGATAGGCTGACGGATTTAATGATGGCATTACAGTTCCATGTTATAAGATTTGAATTGATTTTCAAACTGGTGGTATGAAATAATTTGATTTATAGTATCTATTAATATGTTAAAATGCAATTTCTGAAATTTAGGGAAAAGGGTTCAAATTTGCCAAAATAAATGTCACCATTACAGTTAAAAAACATTTTAAGTCTAATCAAATATAATAGAAATTTTGCTAGATATATTTTGGATAATATATTAATAAAATATTAACAAGTGACTTTTGGTTAAGTGACTAGTAGATTTTGGACATAAGGCTGTAGACAAAATATGTTTTGAAAAAATTTATAATTATATACAAATCAGAATTCTGACTTATCTTAGAGGTTCATCTAGAATTTTTGAGTTTAATTTAGCTATATTTAGTTATACCAAATTATGAAAAACTTCCCTCTTAATTATAAATACAAACATAGCAATTCTGTTATATTATGTCTTATTTTTATTGAAATGTAGTATGCATGCATATACCATAAACTTTGGCAGAAAAGTTTTTGTTTTGAGTGGTGCAGTATAAAAATTTATCAAAAATATAAATTTAAATGAATATCAATGTTTGTTAAGAAATTTCTTCTTATATTAACCATACAAGAGTGAAAATGCATTTACCATATATAACTAAAAAGAATCGGTATACCGTCCTTTGAGTTATCAATGTTGTTCTTATTCCTGGAGCGAGAATTTGCATCAAAATTGTAAATCTGTTTTCAAAATGAAGATTACAGATGTGATAATCTTTACTAATAACATATCCAAAGACACAGTACACAAAGATATGATGATGGTTTTAGCTCCAATAAAATTGTTGTGGTCAATGGATTTCTAGCACTTGAAATGCTTATATTTGCTAACTTTAAAGCATGAACATACAGGATTTACACAAGTCAGGGTGTTAACGTCTTTCTTTGATTCAAGCCTTTTGAATTAATGTCATACACATGCAAGTAGTATTAGAATTGCTGTTATTTTGAGATGGAAGATTTTAAATAGCATTAAAACAATGCCACATATGAAGCAAATAGATGCACTTTATTCATGCCATGGCATCCTTAATTACAATAGTATTTATTGTTACATTATGAATAAATTTTTAAATATAAATTCTAATAAGTAGCCATACTTATATAGAACTTTTAATAATTCATAGGAAGATATATTTCTAAGGAGGTATATAAAACTATAAACATTTTGAACAAGAATGAAGGGTTTTATGATACCAGTTACTGTAATGTGCACAGGAAAATTAGAATTAATTGTATGCCTTTGCTTGAAAATATAATTAACTGAATTTTATGGTTGATTGTTGCCCATTGGGTTTCTTTTTATTGTCCCTGAATTTGTAATAAGTCAGGTTGTTCTCTACCTCTTACTAAAGTGTTTTACAAAATAAAATAATTGGCAAAGCTATTTTTGAAACTTTACCTTCTCTTGAACAAAGTCACAAAGACTAACCACATCAAATTTAAAATATAGAAATTTATTATGCAAATTGTAAGTGGCCTTTCATTTGAAAAAATATGGGCATGTCTGTTATTAACATGCTCCAAAAAATACTCTTAAATCCTTTACTGTCACTCGAAAAGGAGCATGAGCTCTCTTTAACCACTAACTAAACTAGTGGATTCTTTTAAGCAATTTTTATTGTGTTATATTTTATGATTTTTGGTTCACAGTGTACAGATTAATAATTTACTAGTTAGAGAAATTCAACCTTAATCCTTGGATTTTTGAACAACAGTTGATTTGAAGTAACTACCTTAATAGTGTTGTTGCTACTTTGCTAGCATTGCTATGCTAGCAGGTGAATCAAAAAGGATAAATGAAAATAGGAAATAATATTAAAGACCAAAAAAAAGGCTTTAGATGAGATGCCTAAAATACACTTTTTTCAAAAATATGTATTTTGGCTTTTCATTTTCTTAAGGATTTAATTTTTGCCCTTTCCAGATTTGACAAACTACCTATTCAACAGGTTCCAAGTATGATACAAATCCTAAGAAAGAGGAACTGAGAGAAGAGTCTTGGGTTGGGAGTAAAGAGGGTGGACTGCACCCATGATGGGGAAGTTATAGCCTACTCTTACGAGAAGATGAAAATCTTTTAACAGAATTTTACTGTCCAAAAATTCAAAGGTTTACCTTGACTTGTCCTCAAATTGAGAGTTGACCTCAGAGGATAATCAAAGCCTTATATGAGTTACATTATAATAAAAATCCTCAGGAATTACACAAAGCTGAGCTTGTACATGTCTGGTGACTTAACTTGAGCATCCTAGCTAAGTTACATGAATATCCAATCAACCCTAATAACTATGTGTTGATAGATTCTCTAGTTTGCTCACAAATATATGGTAATTCATCAATAATGAAATTTTATATAATCATGAAGTGCATGGATTTGCTCTTCATCTCCAAATTCAATTTCTCTGCTGTTTGTTAGCTATGCCTACCTTTCCTGTTTTCTATATCCCTTATGTCTTGTTCTTCCAATTCCTTCATCTTTTCAAACAAGAAAGGATTTGATAGTGGTCATTTAAATTCTTTTATTGTAGAAAGAAAGCAAAAAGTACTGAAAGCAAAGTACTTAGGAAAAAATCATATAATGTAAACTAAATTCATATAAAATATGTAAATTGTCAAGTGTGAATTTCAATCAATATGTGATCACAACCTGGCATTTCCATTTTAAGTGGCACCTGTATATTATTTCTAAATTAAAAAAAGAGAACATTGTCCATTTTACATAAATTTCAGGCATCAGCAAATATATGAATAGCACTTTATTGGGGGCAAAAGTCCCAGAAATTTCACTGTGCCATTCTGAAAGTCAATCTGGGAGGTGAGCCTGACTACTTTTTCAGGCTGCTATACTCAAGAGAATCAAAAGACAGACACAACTGTCTTGCTAAACCTGGGCCCTGAGGATGTCATTCAGAGATGTGGCCTGCCTGTTATGGTAAAGAGCCTACTTTCAGAACCTTATAGAACAGATGGCATATTCCATCGCTACCAGACTTTCAAAGAGTAGAAATCGACCCTACTCTTGACATAGTGATACAAATCGCATTTTACAACTCAGAATTCACTGAAAATCATCATTAATTACTTATCTAGATATGGACATCACTTTATTTAAATGTCAGCGTTTGGCTTAAAATAATTACAAAGTTTAATGGTAGAAATTTGGGGAAAATAAAGAATAGAATCTTTTTCTTATACTTTACATTATAAACACATTCTGCTCCTATTAAATATTCTCACAAAATATCCTTTTAATGACTGATGTGAATGATATATAATTTCATATATATTGCTATAAAATGTGATTCTTAAAGTTTTTATTATTATAAATAATGTGATGGTCTTTACCTATACATTTTTCCCCTGACTTTATAATTATCTCAACAGAACAGATTCCTAAAAGTAAAAATACTAGATAAAAGGAAATAATTTTGTTAAAGGTTCTTACTACATATTTTCAGAATTCTTACCACAGAAGTTGTATAAACTCTCACCAGAAATATTTAATAAGTATAAATACCACTTAATCTTTAACCAAATTAATAAAATTACATATCTTTATAACATAAAACTCTTAAAGAAAAGATCTCTTTTCTTTGATATTAAAATAACTTCTCCCTCCTCTGTTTTACTTCTTTTTCTCTCTTTACTCATGAAGTCCAAGTGGACTATCTTTGAGTTTATCCATATTTGAAAGTTCTAGTCCATTTAGGTGAATGTCTACCCTTGAGAAAATATACAAATCTAATTGAATGTCTGTAATCTCTACGTATTTTCTTCTCTTGCTTATCCTAATGCTCAACTAAGACCTTCCTCCAGATTCTATATTTCTTAGTAAAGTACCCAGTAATTTTGTGATGTACTCTGGGTACATGGAATGTCAATAAATACTAGTTGACAATAGTTTGTACACAGCACAAAGGAAACACATGTCTAAATTTTCCGCAAGAGAATATAGTGTGTAGACTGAACCATGTAAGCTGCCCAACCATGCTCTTATTTTTTGTTACCAACTTATTCTTGTTTGTTAAGTTTATTAAACAGCAAGCATTTTTGGTTTCTGAATGGGTAGCAAGGATTCACTAGATGTTAACATCTGGAGGAAAATGGTTAAGGGCATAATGAAACTTCAGATTTTTAAACACAGACCTTAGTAAAAGGATATGCATTTTATCCAATATATGCAATTTTATCCAGTTTAACTATAGGCTAATTAAAATAAAATGTCACATTAGAGGTTAACTAGCACCCCTTGCCTTGTTCCACCATACTGCAGTTACAGAATTTTAGATTTGGAATAGATGAAGGAAAATGTCCTTATATTTTATTATTGATCCTAATTGACTGCACCTTTTCTGAATAGTTACTACTCTGTAGTAATAAACTTGGGAAATCATTTCATTTCCTCTCTAGGGTGTGAAAATATTTAATATAAATTCCCTAGAAACATTATTATTTAGGTGTTGAATTTGATACTCAATTCTGAAAGTGTCATGTAATACTGTTGATTCTAAAAATTACTGTTTTGCTGAGTTGTACAAGTGATGTAAATATGACAGTTCCCAGAGATAGGAAAGTCAGTATTGGCCAGGTTTTCTTATCTACATTTATGCTACTGGCTTTCATAAGCAAATGTAAGGCCATTGACTCGATTTTACTGCATCATAGAGAATATACAAGACATATTTTTACTAACAC